TCAACAACATGAGGTTTCACCCTTGAGCTATGGTTTCGTGGCTACCTTTACTTCGCTCTCGACTATCAACTAGCGCTGTAGCTAAAGCATACTTTTGTGTGCAACACCCGGAGCCCTCAGCGATCGGAGCTAGCTGATTTGAAGAACATCATATCCTCTGAGTACTGCTGAAACCTCTCAGTTGTATGTCCTTCCCTCCAGGTTGTTCACAAAGATAGCTCCACAATTTACGCGAAGATCTGAGCGACCCAGCAAATCGTCACCGAAGCGCTCTTCAGTTCATTCGCAGTCGTCACTGAAACCTATTACCACCTTATGCCTACTCTACCACTGCGGCGTGTTGTTTCCCCATGCAGCCCAGCGTGCAGATGTAGAACGCTTCAAATGGTACTCACTAGTGTTGCATAAAGGATAAAAAGGATAAAGTCTTCGCCGTTGATCAATCCCTTTGTGGGATGCGGCACGCATTCTACTCCCATTCAGAATCGTAGTGGCTTATTGAATGCGATGTGGCCTATACAATGACTTGCGGTGGCTAGCCGATGTACAAGTCAGTGTTTTATCCTCCCAGACGAATCTAGTACCAGTTTACCGTCCCCGGAGGGTAGAAGGCTTGGTTGGCCTGGGATGGAGTCGACCCGGGACTTGAACCCGGCGCCGCACGAGTGGTAAGCGCGCCACTTGTCACTACCTCCGCCTCAATGTTGCATATGAAAGAAAATTAATATAACATGCCCTTTGCTGTTGCTCATCCCAACTATGTAACTGTCTGCTCTTCAACGGAGACCATTTAGTCCAGTGGTTGGAAATAATGTCACCACGTAATAGATAAGGAAATAGTAATGAGTTCTATTTTAATTGTTGACAGCATGACAATTGAGCCGTTCGATGATATTGCTTTCGTGAGTGGCGTGGCAGGCTCTGGAAAGGGAAACCCCGTTGAAAATTATCCTCCCCCTTATCGAAGCGTATCAGCTGCTAGCAGTTTCTGTAACCAACCAATATGTTAACCCTATATCATACTTTGGAACCAACGTTCCACCGCTGCTGGGACTGGCGATGAATTTCGTTCGAGAATTATAGTAGGTGTCATATATACCTGAGCTCATTTTGCAGGATTATAAATCAGTTCACAAGAAACCATGCATTTAGATATTCCTTTAGTCTTACTAAAAAATCAACCGGCACAAATCACGTAGAGAAAGAGACATGAGGTTCCCCTCTCATCGAGCAGCTGTCGCAATCTGCGTGGCATTTTCTTACCGAAAAATAACAGCATCACCAAAGCGATAATGGAACTTCACACCACAACTTTTCAAAGAAGCAGAGTCAATCTTTACACACAACTTGCCACTGGACTACTGTGCAAATCTATAGACACATCCCGTAAGGCAAGCACCCTATTCCACTGTGCTTAGATAGAGAATAGTCTAAAGTACACCACACACTACGGCTAGCGTGCGGAAAAAGAACAATTATTAAAAAGGGAACCTTGTTTATACCACTGCTGTATCAGATTGGTGACGATGAACGGCGCATTCAGTATCAGCATCTCTAAGGGATATCGATTCGTGCAGATCAGAAGCTGAACACAGCCACAATGACGCGGCCACACAACGCTGAACGAAGAACACATCTGCCGATTGCATCATGCTCCTCATAGAGTGTACGCGTGATGTGCGACAAAGGAATGGAACGAAGGAAAACTAGAAGTTAATAATGAGAAATGAAAGGGTAAGCAGAAGTAGTTTTACAAACAGCGACAACACTACTGCCATCATACTCGCTGCAGTGTAGGCCCAATCAATGCGCTCTCTAGCTCTAACGCACTCTCGCTGCTTTGCCCTCCAACAAAAAACAACATGAAAATAGCCGTCAAACATCCTGGGCACACGTTACGTGCGAATCGACGTCGTTGTCCCCTTCTCTCGTCAGTTGAAACCTCAAAATCACACTTTCATGAGGAATTCAAATGCGAGCATGGATGACAACTAGTGCGCCTCAGCATACGGGACCAAACGTGATTTCCAATTATAATTATCTTCTTCAGTCGAGGGCACTACAATCCCCAAGCATTGAAATAATTTGTTTTTTTCACATTATATGGCCAATCAAAATGTATGCATTGGCGAGTCTAATACTAAAATACTACTGTGTTACTGATCCGAAAGAAGAGGAGTTTTGAGGATTGTTGTACCGTAAGTGGTTCTTTGGATCGAAGCACTGGTCACGACCATTTTTGTTAGAAAGTAGCAGTAGGAGTTGCGCGCAATCAAGATGATCTCAAAGCTATCGCAACATCACTTACCGATTCTCTTGAGGACACACAATCCGAAAAATACAGACTGCTGGGCATGTTCTTTCATCAGCCACTTCCAACGAGACTCTTCCTGTCTCGTTTACCCACGATTGCAAGAGGTACACTTAATTACGTATAACCTAATCGTCAATATCCCTGCGCTATTCATGTTGAAAGGAACATTTTCAACTCGACTCGGTTGCATCAGCTCTGGATGAAACTAATGTCCAGTGCAAAAGTTGATCCTTCCAGTGCAAAAGTTGATCCTGGAACCCGAATCCACATACCCCGGAAAGCAGTCATAGGACCACCCTTAACTCCTAGTTAAGTCCGCATTTTGTGATAACTTTCGTAGCACGCATTGCGGCGTAAACAGCAGTTATCAAATAAGGCCGCGTTCGTGAAGAAATTCAGAAATGCGGAAAATGCAGAAGTGCGGAATGTGCAGAAGTGCGGAATCTGCCCAGAAATGCGAAAGGGTGTGGGAAACATCACATACGTTCCGGTTGCTTTTCTGCACATTCCCGCCCTTCGGCATTTCTGCAGTTTCCGCATTTCTTCACTTTCGGCCTTTCTGCATTTCTTCAAATCGATACGTATGTGATGCTTTTCGTCATTTCTGCACTTTCCACGTCTGCAGTTTCGGCTTTTCTGCATTTCTCAAGTCGATACGCGTATCTATTGCTTTTCTGCAGATTGCGCACTTCTGCACTCCGCACTTCTGCATTCCGCATTTCTGCATTTCTTCACGAACGCAAGCTATGAACGCGGCCTAAAGTGGAAAGCTTATGGTGCCCTTAATTCCAAGGCGAATGTTTTCTACTTAACGGACGTGATATTCGCACCCTGGAAGTCATTCATTCCCCGTGACAAAACTTCAGCGGTTCTGGCGCTTTATGATGGCTTGGCGCCAGAGGCGTGAAGCAAGCTACAGGCGTTTCCTCGTTGAACGAGTGTGATGATTTTATCCAGAGGGTTAAATTAACCCCGGAAACAACTTCCTGGCCAAACTGAGATTCTGGGCTACACTTCAAACTAATAGGTAGTGATTGTCGCAGGGGGTAGATAGTGACCAATTCTATAATTGATCTGCCACGTCAGATACTCGACTTGCTCGCTCTATCGGGTCTTTGAATCGGAAGATGAGAGTACGAACCCTTATCGGAGACAGACTAAAAGGAGAGTACGAACCCTTATCCGGAGACAGACTAAAAGTTTTCATATCAACGGGAAGCAAATTCTAAAGCTACTGGCTTCGCAACGAGACCAGTACCACGAGGCCACGATGGCACTGGCGTTCCATCGTTAAGCAATGCTCATACAGTAACACTGCATTTACAAGGGTGACGGATAATTGGTACGATCACACCTAATTAAGATGTAGCTCGCACCTGGCAGCGAGACAACTTTAATGAGGTGCGAAAACTTGGTGCCTCACTGCGAAGTGACCTCATTAAGGAGCGAGGGCTGAGAGGTCATCTTGTTATCCACATGTTTTCATAATAAGTAAGTAATGATCAATAAAATGAGGGACAAGGTTAATGAAATATGGTAGGGTTACTCTTTCCTACGCAATAATACGCCATTTAAGCCCTCAATCTATATTCTAATAGTTCACGAATCGGTCCCACTTAATTACTGCGCTCTCGATAGACTACTGAGAAAACTCTTGCTGAAAGTTGGGCCACGGGTTGACCCGATGCCCTGTTCGAGAGCCGGCACTCACGTCTGACCATGGCGCAACTTACCGCTCACTTGGCGCAGATTTTTTGCACTGAAATCGTTGTTAACATCACGCAGACCAGTTCAGCGCCATGCTGGCGCGAAATGGTGTCGGTAGCAGAAATAAGTGTTAGATTGGGGCCATCACTTACCCTTGTATACAGATTTTCAAGAAAGAAAAGGTTTTTTTTGTGATAGTGACTAGACTGGCAATGGCACCCCAACTCGCATCTCGTATAGGTCATCGGCAAAACCAGCCTTCGCAGAATTCCCTTCTCAAATTCGGTATGATTTCAAAGAAAATCATGTTTGTCCCATGGTACGTGTACGAGCATCCTGGGCATTTCTCGGCTCCCATCGTATAAGCTTCTATCAAGAAACTGGTTAACTCCAGCCGTAACCCTTGCAACGGAACCTGTTTCATTGAAAAAGTAAATAGTTAATAGATGTAACAGTTAATAGATGTAACACAGGATGAGCGCTAGCCCGATTTGATCGCGAATTCGTAGAGCACGAATGTTCGCGCGCATTCACAGAGGATGACTGATCGCGCGGGATCGCGCCTTCAAAAGGGGGCGAGCCCTCACTCGCGAGATCCGTTCTCCATTGTAGCCTTTTTTTTGATTATTGTTGTTAGTTTTTTTGTAAAATGAATTCTTTTCTTTACTGTGTTCGAGTAACCATCTTACATGGGGGCCAAGCCGGCTCGAGCTCAGTGAAAAAAAGAACTAGTCAGCTATCGACCCAAAAGTGGTCAGCAGCCGAGCAATCAAAGACCCAGAAGTGGTCAGTAATCAGAGTGACCAGCGATCCAGAAGTGGTCAGGCTGCGCAAATAACTGTCTAGAAGCGGACACCGCGGTCACTAGCTATCCCGTTGATCACTGAACTAACGTCGTTCGATATTACACAGTTGCACAACAGCATCTGTATACAAGGCTATTAAGCAAGTGTTTGCAGAGAAAAAAAAGCAAGCTAGCATGTCGGACGACGAAGATTCACAGAACAGCGCGGACCGGATGGTGAACGTCGACCCTAATGTCCCGGAAGAAGCCACTTTGCTGAGCCCAGTGGTAAGCACATTTGAAAGAGCTTTAGAAAGGGTAAAGTCTGAGTTGCGGGAAGTGAGAACTGTCGCAGATGATGCGATGAGCACTGCATTCAGAACAAATAGCGAAGTACGAGAAAGAGTATATAGCGCCATAAACGAGCAAGTCCAATTAGCGGAGTTCAACTAGACATTGTTAGAGCTCTAGCGCTAAAAAATAAGCAAGCATTAGGCCGCGAGAGCAAAGTAGTCGCGCTACTTTGTGATCTCTACGGCTGCGATGCTAATCAAGTGGTCCATCACGCAATCAAGCAGGAAGAAACGATAGAGATGTTGCAGGCACAACTTTTGTGATCGAAAGCGGCGAACCGTGAGAAATTCAAAGAAAGGAGGCGGATGATTCTGGCGGGCCAAGAGCCCATGGAAAGTGAGTTAAACGGACAAAATACTTGCAATGACATATATAATACTGAAGATATTCAGCAGACGCCGCGCATGACATCAAAAACGATGGGATCTTCGTCAAACGGGCAGCAAGGTCAGTTCCACTCAATTAGAACTAGCAGTTCAAGCAGTGGCGAATCAGAATTGTCTTTGCAAAGCGAGTTGAGCACAGCACGCCTCATGAACAAGTACATGCGAGCGGCTGCTATACCTGATGTCAAACCATTCGCAAATCGCAAATTAGAAAAGTTCAGAATTCTTAAGACAGTTTAGGTTAAAATACCCAGAGACAACATGGCGAGATAGTGAAAGGCGTGATATCTTGGTAGGCCTATTAGAGGGGGAAGCAAAAATGCACTATAAAACCCTCCCAAAGGATGCCCAAAACGGGTCGTTACAAACGTTAATAGAAGGAATGAAGAGAAGGCTGAAAGTAGACGGGCCGGAAGAGCAACCCAAAGTTAACGTTTCCAACTCTAGGCAGAACTGTAATACTGACTGATCTCCTTTTTTCGTATTGTTCGGAGCTTTCCATGAGCTCGAACAATAGCTCCGAACAATACGAAAAAAGGAGATCAGTCAGTATTACAGTTCTGCCTAGAGTTGGAAACGTTATCGTGTAAAGCGTAACCAAATGCTGATGATCACACCTTATCGCTCATGCGGGCAGAGATTCTGCAAGAGCAATTGAGCCATTGGACAGAAGCAATACAGCTTCTAGAAATACTGAGACGGAAACCATTGGAAGGTCTGCGAGAAAATGAGGGAAAACGCGTTGAGAATTGAGCGATTGAGGGAAAACAGTTCGCGCGGCAGGCGCATAGGCCCCACTGGGATTTCAGTGCGAAGGGCCCCAAGACATGGACCCTCTTATGCGCACACGTACCACTTCCTGATGTCAACCGATGCACCAGGGAACAGGATGGACTTCTTGGGCTGTGTGCAGCTGAATCTAGGCCTTGAAGACAGCGGAGAGCACCCCAGTAAGGGCGTATGTCAAGAAGTTAAATGATAACCTCATCCTATTAGGTACCAATGTTCTGCGGACCCTAGGCATCCACACTGGAATTGATCGATGCACAAGCACGGAGGATGAGATATCTACTACAAGAAGGGGTTGGCCAAGAAACGGGTCAACCAATACAAGGAGACGCTACGCCAGTCAGGCAAAGATCATCTACAGGAACACCTAGAAAAAAAGAGCAACGTGGTGGCAGTTGATGAAGAAGGTCAGAAAGAGTCGCGTGGAAGCGGAGGAATCTTCGCAGGCAGGAACAGAAAAACGTTCTAGAGAAGCCACCGTAGTAAAACGGGTATACGTCAGTCCAGGACAATGCGCACTCATCCAGGTGCCAAGGAAATGGCCAGCAAGGGACGCAGCACTTTGTTCAGTCAACGCAAACATTCCGACAGGTGTATGCAAATTCTCACAAAAGGGCACCACGGAAGTACCTGTACTCAACCCTACATCACAGCCCATGATCTTTCAAAGAGGGACAAAAGAACGGAGTCTGGGAAGAAGTTGACTGGATACAAGCGGCAACAAGAGCCATAGAATCGGACATGTTGAAGTACGTAAGGATCGCAACACGGATCCGAACGGATTGCTACCTTGCGGGACCAGTTGCAAAAATTGCAGGCGCGGGCACTTCTCAGAACTCTTGCTAGAATTGGTCAAAAATTTTCATGATGGTGTTTGCCGTTACAGACAAAGAGCTAACACAGACAGACCTGATCGAACATAACATCGACACAGGAGACACAAAAGTGATCAAGCAGAGGACTAGGCCAGTACCACAAGGAGTGCGATCAGAGCCTCAAGAGCATCCTGAAGACCTAGAGAAAGAAGGATTATAAAGAAATCAACATCGAGTGAGCTTCGCCGATAGTGTTAGTTCAGAAAAAAGACCAAACGTTGCGAATGTGCATAGACTATAGAGCACTGAACAAGCGCACAAAGCAGGACTCTTATCCGTTGCCAGATCACGGACACTCTTCTGCAAAGTCTCGGAGGGAAAAAGTTCTTTAGTACATTAGATATGGCTTCCGGATACTGGCAAGTAAAACTAGCGAAGATGCTCAACAGAAAAGCGCATTCACAACCCCCGAGGGACTGTATGAGTTTTTGGTACTGCCGTTTGCCTGTGCACCTCTCCGGCAGTATTTCAGCGCCTTATGGACCGAGTACTCGGAGACCTAAAAGGAGAAGAAGTACTCGTCTACATCGACGATATTCTCTTGCCACAGACACGAAGAGCGGCACTTACAAATACTTGCAAAGTCTTCGAGGCATTCAGGAAAGCAAACCTGAGGCTCAATCCACAAAAGTGCTTACTGATGGAACAGCAATTGTCCTTCCTTGGACATGTCATCAGTGAAAAAGCGGTAAACATGGACCCGATAGGCGGTGAAGATTCTCGACTATCCCAAACCTGGCCCACCCTAGCAGAGAGCAGAACCTTCCTAGGACTCTGGCGATATTACAGGAAATTCGTTCTACTATTCTCTGATCGCAAAGCCTCTTTCGATCTTACAAGCTCTCGAGCGCCGTATAAGTGGAACACTGAGCAGGATCTGCGCAACTGCCTCAGCAGCGTGCTAGGACAGCCAGATATAGAAAAAGCCAAGTCAGGAGAAAAACCATATATAATCTACAGATGCAAGTACCATTGGGATTGGAGCTGTATTGTGCCAGGAGGGTGCAGAAAACCTCTTAACATCCCCTGTACTTTGCTTCGAAAAAACTATCGAAAGCAGAGCAGCGTTACCATATACGGATATCGAGGCTCTTGCTATAGTATATGCAATTGAAAAAGTTCCATTTCTTATTTGGAGTAAAAACAATCGTTACGGATCATCAACCACTGACAACATTGTTCAAAAGAAGCACAATGTGTCAACACGCGTCATTTGGTGGGCCTTGGAACTACAGGCATATATACCATCACCTTAAATCGGACACTTTTCAAACCAAATCGGACACTTTTCAAACAAATCGGACACTTTTCAAACCAAAATCGGACACTTTTCAAATAAAATCGGACACTTCTCAAACCAAATCGGACACTTTTCAAACCAAATCGGACACTTTTCAAAATCGACACTTCTCAAATCAAATCGGACACTTTTCAAACCGAATCGGACACCTTTCAAAGCAAATCGGACACTTTTCAAATAAAATCGGACACTTTTCAAACCAATCGGACTTTTTTCAAACCAAATCGACACTTTTTCAAACCAATCGGACACTTTTCAAATTAGGACACTTTTCATCCACACACCACAAATCGGACACTTTTCAAATAGGACACTTTCAAATCAAATCGGACACTTTTCAAACCAAATCGGACACTTTCGAAGCAAATCGGACACACCCCTACAATTAGGTGGTTGGTAACTAGACCACACCAGGAACTGTTGCAATCCCCGCCCCATTATCCCGCCCACTTCTCAGCGCAGACAGGGTTTTCCGAGATGCTTCATGAAATCTGCTCCCCGACTTTTTTTCGTTTTGCCCTTTGCACACACACTACAACTAAAAAGATTGATACCTGAACAGATCTGACTCCGCCAATTAACAGTGAAGTTACGTAAGTTCTGAATTTTTATAACTTTTTTCGACGCAGCTCTTTTCACATCAGTCTTCACAAGACCGAATAACCATGCACAGCACACCAGGCCCCGTCCATCTGACCCCGCCCACTTGCGTTTATCGCGGAATTTTGATTTTTCTTCCGGATTTTCGCTTTTTTAGGCTTTAGCGATTGGCTCCGCCACCAATGGAAGCTCCGCCCACTATAAGTTCTCTTTTTTTCCGGAACGGAAGACACTCACGGAAGACACTGTTCATCCTCTCTATCTACAATTCATCTGCAATGAGAATCAGCTTGTCAAACCACCCGGAGACTATAAGGGATACCGTATCGGTTCAAGTGCCCGCTCGTCGAAGAAGAGATGGCAAGGAAGCTGTCAAATGTGCTGCACGACCTGCCTGAAACGATGAGAGACATTAACTTCAACATCACGGCACGACTTGTAGAACTTATCACCATCTGGATGAGGGAAGACTGGTCGGACGACCATAAACTCTTCATGATGGCAAAACACAATGCAAGAACAAAAATTTCAGGGGAAGCTCTGGCATTAGCACTGCTATACTTTGAGAAAAAATGTCTGCACATTCAGCTCAGCTTGGAAAACCCGAGCCCCAAAGATGTTTATCACGAAGCGATCCAGTGTGATGAAAGCACTTTTCGAGTTAGTGGAATGGTGCAAGCTGCTCTGAAGCTGATAGCAGGAAAAGAATGGAAGGAGCCATACAAAAAGAAGAGAAGGCAGCAATACCTTCTAACACCACAATACCTGTCGAAGGTCCACACAATGCTGGAAAATACTATCACTGTATCGCGTACGACATCAAGGATTTACCGAAGATAGCTATTTTCCGATGTCCTTCTGATAGTTGGAGCCGAAGAAACCGACGCCAACGACGTGACCAACGAATTAGTGCCACGGTTGGAAAACAAGGCAACAGATGACATACAAGTCGCCATTGGCATAGCCCCTATGGAGCACCAGACGCATGAACATGAAAGAAATGGACACGCACATACGAGTCTATGGAAGTTGCAGTATACAACCTCAGAAGAGTTGTCAACGTGACACTATTGCCAGATGCACAACCAGGAGAGTGGGATCACCCATATCGCTCCCTGGCAACCAGGCAGCAATACCTTCTAACACCACAATACCTGTCGAAGGTCCACACAATGCTGGAAAATACTATCACTGGTATCGCGTACGACATCAAGGATTTACCGAAGATAGCTATTAATTCCGATGTCCTTCTGATAGTTGGAGCCGAAGAAACCGACGCCAACAACGTGACCAACGAATTAGTGCCACGGTTGGAAAACAAGGCAACAGATGACATACAAGTCGCCATTGGCATAGCCCCTATGGAGCACCAGACGCATGAACATGAAAGAAATGGACACGCACATACGAGTCTATGGAAGTAGCCGTAGACAACCTCAGAAGAGTTGTCAACGTGACACTATTGCCAGATGCACAACCACGAGAGTGGGATCACCCATATCGCTCCCTGGCAACCACCCCATACGACCAGAATGGCGTCATCGGATTTTATGCTACCACGAGATGGTATGATAGCATAAGGAAGTTCTGGGTGCCACGATGGCCGCCTCTTACCAAGAAACCGCAAAAAGAGGAAGAGACGCCGCCACAGAGGAAGCGGTTGCACGATGACGACGATACGGTATACCCTCCTTGGAAATCGAATCCGCAGAAGCATTGTTATCGGGGAAAGAGACTAGCGCCTCATCATAAGTAAATGTGTGTTCTTAAGAAACTAATCGTTTTTTTGTTGTACAAACATGCACCAAAGAAGCTGAAGATGAAAATAACGAGTGAAGGACCACTCTCAGTAACCCCGGGGGTGTAACATAGGATGAGCGCTAGCCCGATTTGATCGCGAATTCGTAGAGCACGGATGTTCGCGCGCATTTATAGAGGATGATTGATCGCGCGGGACTGTGCCTTTAAAAGGAGGCAAGCCCTCACTCGCGAGATCTGTTCTCCATTGTAGCCTTTTTTTGATTATTTTTGTTGTTTTTTTTTGTGAGATAAATTCTTTTCTTTACTGTGTTCGAGTAACCATCTCAAATAGAAACGTCCAGGTATCGAAGCTGGATGCGACACCTGGATACTGATAGACACCAGTTCAACAGATCTTCGTCAAAACTCGAAAAACTCGTGGAGAAAAATTTTGTGAAACTCTGCATCAGGGGTCATCGATAGCCCTGATCACGATTCCGACATTTATAAACGGGGCCAAGGCCATTCGTCGCCAACATGGTCTTGGATACCTCCGTGCGGAGTGGGATGCTGCGAAAATCGCTCGAGAGACTTCAACATAATCTCACCTTGTGCCAGGTTAGCTACTTTTTACACTTTATTCCGAACAACACATCTCGATGCATGGTTGACGAACTTCTCCTTAGCTGTGTATACTCAACATTAAATGAGAAAAGAGCTCAGCAAAGCGGCTTGAAATGAATTCTCTTTAACAAACTTATCACTCATTTTTTGTTCCCAGGAATGCGCAGCAAATATTGAACCGATTCTTGTGATTCTTGTATGGACCCCTACAACATGCAATAAACCATTTCTAAAAAGCGCGCGATGACCTGAGCGTCCTCGATTGTAAGCCCTCCCTCCTTAATGAGAGTCACTTCTCAGTTAGGCAACGAGTTTTCGTACCTCATTACAGCTGTTTCGCTGCCAGGGACGAACCACCTCTTAATTAGGTGCGATCGTACCAATTATGACTGATCCCATTTACAACCAACTTTGACTACACACGTTTGGAGATCCCTGTAGCTTTTTTAGGCTGTATATCCATAATCAGCGTTGGATACTATCGATGCACCTAGGTCTCTATTGAAAGTTCCATGAAATGTTGAAATCATTCCCTTGTCAGGCGGCAAGAACGAGGGCCATTTTCGCAAGTGAATAGTTGAATCACCTCTAAGATCTAATAATAGGCCTAGCGTAGGCTTAGTAATCGATCTAATAATAAAGCACAAGACGGGTGGCTCCAAGTGACGATTAGGATGGCAATAGTTGATCTCGCATTTGCGATCAGAACTATCAATATTTCTCAAAGTACCAACTGCGGCCAAACAGCAGTTGCCAAAATAAACAAATTCAGAAGCTCAATTAGGATGACGAAGGGTGAAATCAATATTTACAGATTATTCTGAACGCCGAAAAAATTGAAAGACGTACTCTGAGATGGCACTCAGCGGGGAAAATGAGACAACAGACATCGATTATAATGAATGACTGCTGTCGCTCGTGTACTCCAAGTACGATGGTGATCTATGCAAACGACAGGGCGTTTGACGCGGCGCGGTTGGAAGCGCACTCAGGACGGTCTGTTCCCAAAATCATGTCATCCTCACAAAGGAGGTCGTTCAGGTCGTGGTGAGCTTTTTAAAAACGGTTTGTTGCATGATGTAAGGGTCCATGCAAGGACCACAAAAGTGGCGTTAATTTTTGCTAAACGCTGTTGGGAATGCCAAAAAGGAATAAAAACAAATTGCTCAGAATTGACAAATTCAATCATCTTACCAGCCCTGTTTTAGCTGTAAAGCTGAGCACATATGGTGCTCATCATTGCAGACCGGTGGGGCGGGTGGCCGCGCCGCGTGTGACTCGGCTGTGACGCGGCTGTCATCGCTGCCGCGTCACAGCCGAGTCACACGCAGCGCGGCTTACCGCCCCACCGGTCTGCAATGATGAGGACTGTATAGTTTGTGAGGTGTTCCTCGACTAGACATGGAAAACAACGTAAAATAAGGTCGAAATTCAAGGGCCTTACTTGGCATGCAGTGAGGTACACTACAGTTTCTTTAGTGGTTTATGCAGCATCCCTTCCCGCTTGCAGTGGCCATTTAGCGCCACGCTGGCCCCAGATCACGTCGGCGCCATAAACAGTTGTCGAAATCGTGATCAGGGTCATTAATTACCCCTGTATAAGAGGTTTCAGCGAAAAAACTCTTTTCGAGTTTTCCGGGTGGTAATGGACTGACCATTTGGATGGCAGTGACACGCGAACCCTCCGTAAAGGTCTCTGACATCAGAACCTTTTGGCATAAGCCTGAAATTCTACATACTTCGCACTCTCAACTTCAGTAAGTTTTTAAAAAACATCGTGTTAGCTCCAGAGTCACTAAACGAGCATCTTGAATCTTTCTCCACTTTTACCGTCTAGGCTTTCGACAAAGAACTCGTTACCTCCTACCCGGGAAAAGGGTTGTTTCTCTTACATCAAAAGTGCAAATGGTGTGCAGTGTATGCGCGTCACTTTTTTTTAATTTGTAGCTGATAATTATGCGCCTGCATACTATCAAATGAAAGGCTCATGGGACTGATAGCATCTTGCTCAAGGCATGGTCAGGCATCATAACACAAAAGGCTCGGAGAAAATTTTTCGTAACTAACTAACTAACTCTATACATAGGGGTCCTGATCACGGTCTGATACTTATTTTTGGCGCGGAGGCCATCTGGGGTCAGTATGGCCCGCCGCGCAGGTTGACAGTGATTTTAGTGCGAGAAAGCCTTCACACCAAATCGGCGACACATTGCACCATATTCAGAAATGAGCGTCATATTCGTGATCAGCGCATCGGATACCCGCCGTAACCCAAGTTTCAAGGAGAGTCTCCTCGATAGTATTTCGCGAGCGTATTAGTTGAGTGAGGCACCTTTGCGAACCACTCCCGCATAGAATGTGCTCTTAAGTGGCGGATATCTGGGTCATACACATTATGGGGCGCACAGGAATACAAGAAGGAAGAAATCGAAAAAAATGCAAAAGTCTCGCCAAGCGATTCCGATCCACAAACCCATCGATTGCGAGTCCGTCGCTCTATCCATCACATAACCGGCCACTGCGACTGGAGAGATGCAGGACCTATTGAAGAGCATGCGCAAATGAACAGGAAACTCTAATGTAGCTCACCAGATTTTGACCTTTTTGCGTTGTTTTTCATGCTGCTCAAAGAATACCTCACATACTAAATACTGTCAACGTTACAGCTAGAACGAATCCGAATAAGATGATTGTATAGCCCATTCTTTTCGAATTATTTTCGATCTTTTTTTGGCATTCCGAGTACCACTTAGCGAAAATGAATCTCATCTGTGTGGTTCATAGACCCCTACATCAGGCAACAAACCGTTTTGAAAAAGCTCACCACGACCTGAACAACCTCCCTTATGAGTCCACTGCAATAGGTGAAATATCTACTGTGGCTGCGCTCGAGGCCACGCCGCCGTCCTGCGCCTCCTTGTGTTCGAAATAATGTAGTTCTATGTTGCAGCATCACAACAAGCTGTCTATTGGAACTGAAAACTAAAAATGTTAGACATCTGGTTTATGGATAAATATGCTATTTGTCGTCAACTGGAGGATGATATTTTAACCTAAACAAGATACTTCTTGGGAAACTATCAATAATGCATGACCGATAGCGAAGCCTCCGAAGCGATGGCGCTCCGACATCGTATTCCGACACGAAGTTGATTGTCTAGTCAAGGCTATCACTTCGCTAATCCCCACACCTCACCAACTTAGCCTTTTCATTCGATATTTGCTGAACTGCTGCCAACGTTAACAAAACCATGCCGTTCAAACTGCACCACAGGATGATGATCTGCCTATAAACTTTCAACGAGCTCGCATTTCAAGATGTGCCTCGAAGAACCTTCAAAGACAAAGCAGGTAAAATAAATATGAATGCAGATTTGCACACAAATATCAGGCCGTTGGGAACCCAGATGACTTTGCTTATAATGCAGGCCTGTTTCACTTCGCTTTTCGGCATTTTCCCCTATACAGCATCATCCTATTAGCATTTTAGACCGATGACAGATTTGCCTTATCCCTTCGAATAGTTTCGTTGTTGGAAACCTTCTCCATTAGGGGGACAGAAATCAAATCAGAAATACGAAAATCACATAAAATTTAGGAAGTAAGGGAAGTGCACTGAGCTAGAATCATGGATTGTCAGGTCATGCGATTCAGGCCCAGATACGAAGTCACGAGCAATCGTGTGGCACCGCTGCTAGCCGTCTCCTTTTCAAACCACGTCGAGAAGTCTTCATTGAAACCATTTTCATAAACCTAGTATGCTTACGGGTGATGTTCAGCGGAGATGAATGAGTTCCAGGTCTCAGCTTTGGGGAGAGCATTCTCTGACAAGGAGGTTCAGCGCAAACCATTTCGCCATCGTTGAATCAACGCTCAGACTTCGCGTGACGACGAGCCACCATTGTAACGCTTCAGTGCGATACACGGGAACAGGTATCGATGGGACACATAGGACGTTGAAATTTGCAAAAAGTTTTTCCCGGATGTTGACTTTCCGCGTGTTTTCCCGTTACATCGTATCAACCGTTCACCACCAGTTGCTGTCGCTCACCCGCTTCAACAACCGGTGATGGAAAACGCTGGTGGCAAACCCAGCCTACTGACACACCTCAGCATACGCAGGGAACAAGACCGTAACATCAGTACGAAGTGCCGAAATACGACTTCAGAGCGCGGAAAACAGTTGGATGACTTTGCTTCAAATAGACTCATAAGTGATGCTGCTTACCGCGCCTTGGTCGATCGCCAACAGATAGTTCCTGTGTATCCGAATTGTCACCGCTCGACGAGTGGCTCCCGCTGTCACTCTTGGACGACACAGAACCTTTCCGTGGAACTGCAGTATAAATAATATGGAACGTTGCTATTCAATCCCAATAGAAAAGTAAATTT